AATTTTCTGGTGGTTTATTGGAGATCAGAGTCTCACAGACTTTCCTGCTCAGGCTGGTTTTGAACTGTAATCCTCAGATCTCAGCATCCTGAGTAGATAGGATTATAGGCATGAGCCACCAGCACGTCCAACAGTAATCTTTCTCACGTGCTGCCTGACATCACTTTTAAGCAAAGTAGTGAGTAGATCAGTTAAGGAGTTCCAGTTAATCTTTAGCATCGTCACTCTTTGTTTTACCATCATCATCATCATCATCATCATCATCATCATCATCATCTTCTTCATCATCATCATTATCATCTTTTGTCCATCCATATACTAACCTCAGCGTTCCACTAAAAGCACTAGCCACAAAAATTCCTGGAAGTCCAGGCATAGTTTCAAATATCTCCATAACAAAATATGGCATCAGCTAAAGAGAAAACATATGGAGAGAGAGAGAGAAAGAAGAAGCTGAATATATAAGTAAAGAAATGGTGACTGATAGCCACTCCTGAACATATTGTCTGTAAATTGGGTTTATATAACCACATTTAATGTACTATATTGACATCATGTTTATTTAACTCATGCAGGTAAACTAGGGCCATGGTATAAAGGCAGCATCAACCAACAGAGCTATGGGTTCAAACCTCTTCTCCCTGGATTTGTCTAGTTTTAGGCCTTGTGTTCAAGGAAAAGCTGAGCTGTCCTCATTTCACATGTACACTCCCCTCATTAGAATTTTGCATTTGTTATATTACTCAGAAGTAAAAAAGCCAAGGCCTTGGAATTTGGGAAGTGGCTGAAGGTGCAGGAAAAACAAGAAATAGGTCCAATATTACCCAACCATGTCCAGAATTTCAGTGATTCTTGTCATTCCCTGATGAAATAAAAGAAATTTATACCTGGTCTGGTGCTGAGATAATGCCAGAAGTCCAAGGGTCACAGTCTTTGAAGTAGGAGTACATGATTAATCCAGAGAAGACAGCACAGAACAAAATGATCCAGAGACCCAACAAATTAAAATATAAGGCACTAGAAAACAACACAGGGGAATGCCGATAAGTGTTATGCCATGCCATATTGTGGTCAGGTCATTACCAAAGACCCTAGGAAAGTGTTTCCAATTTATTTTGTTCTTGATCACTCCTGAAGAAACATATTTTACACATATTTTATACTTTTTTATACATTTATGTTGGGCATTCTGTTTTAAAGTAATTAATGAATATGAATAAGATAACGTTTACATGGGTTTTCTTTTTACATAGGGACCTTTTCCCTTCAAAATCTCAAAATACATACAAACCACGTTACATAACTTTATTTTACTTTAGTGATATGTGCCTACAATCCCAGCTACATGGAGTTTGAGGCAGGAAGTTCTCTTAAAGTCATGAGCTTGAGGCCAGTCTAGCAAGACAGGAAACTCTGTCGCAGAGAAATAGGGGGAGTCTGGAGGAAGATGGTGGAGAACCTGGGGGCTGAAGAAGCTCTCAGGTAGAAACCAGTTTTAGTGTTCCAGTGAAAAGTCCAAGGCTAGAGATTCACACCAAGTGAGCCATCATAGTAAAGAGAGTTTGGCCAGAAAGGAAAAAATTCAGGCAGTTTCCTTAAGGAGACACATTTGGGCACTGGCCAGTGTCCATGGCGGTGGCAGTGGCAGCTGCTGCTGCAGCTACCATATCAAAAGAGAGAGCAAGGGGAAAAGGCACCAAAACAGTGTGGGAGTGGATTCTACTCACCGCCAGCAAGAACTGACAAGAAGGGGAAATTGTCATCTTGCTGACCACAGACAGTCACACACTGTGGATGGCCCAGAAACCAAGGGAAAGGCATGAAATGAATACCACACAAGACATCCTCACTCCTTTTCATGGAGCAGCAGTGGGAAAGTAGCCCCTCCCTACCACCATCTTTGATACTGGCAAAGACCGGCCATCTCAGCTAGCCTCAACTAAGGCCTTGGAAGAAGACAATAGGAGCAATTCAACAGGTCAAAGGAACTTGCCCTTCCTAGGCAGAGATAGCTCTGCCCATGGAGGAGTAACCTTCTTCATCAGATAAACAGCCAGCGGCTGTCCCACCCCCACTGCAGTACATGCAGCAGACCCAGCTGAAGGAGGGTAAAAGAAAAAAAAATGAAAACTTGGTAAACATAAATCCTGAGAATGGCTCCAGGCTGGGCTGTGTGAGTATCTCAGGAGCTCGCCCTTCAGGGAAAAGTTACTGATTGCTGACAGGCCT